TTTAACAAGGTTCACATTTCAACAACATAAAAATGTTTAATAATTAATATACCTGCTGGAGCTTTGAAGACTTGTTTGTGAAATCAAGGACTTAGAAAAGTAAAGATATTTCTTCCTCCATCCTCCTTCTTCAGAAAAAGCAAGTGTTCAAAATTATATGTAAGCATGAACATTTCCAAGTAGCTAAGTACGCTTTTTCTATTCAGTTTGCATTTGCACTGCTAATAATTGCTGCCTATTGTTATTATTAGAGTGAGTCTCTCTATCCAAACTTTACACTGCTTTTAGATGTGGGCAAAGAAATAGAATTTTTAAATTAATGCAATATTGTGGTTTATTTGTAAATTCATAAATTCATATTATAATTAAATGAACTCTGAAATACTTACACTTAAGTTATTTGCTATGACAATACCCCAAACCAGGGTTTCCAAAATTTCATTCAATTATACATCACTTTTATGATTTTTAATATTTTTAAATATTTTCCCTTAAATTGATTTAAAATATACTCACATTTTAAGCTTGTCTCATCCTAAGCAACAATAGGTATAAAATTATAAATTTGGGGTTGCTGATTATGTATCTTTTATAACATATATTATAATAGTATTTATAAAAATAAAGATATTTTGTCCCTGACCAACCTAAAATAATCTGTTTCCATAATGTAGAAAATATTGGCATAATTGAATAAAAAACAGATGGTGAAGCCCTGGCTGGCATGCTCAGTGGTTAGTGTCAGCCTGCATCTTGGGTTTGATTCTTCGTCAAGGGCACGTACGTGGCTTGCAGGTTCAATCCCCGGCCCCGGTTGGGTACAGGAGGCAACTAATTGATGTGTCTCTCTCCCATCATCACATTGATGTTTCTTTCTCTCTTTCCCTCTCCTTTTCCCCCTCCCTTCCATTCTCTCTAAAAATCAATGGAAAAAATATCCTTGAAGGAGGATTAACAACAACAAAAATAAGGATGGTGAAAACCTTTTTGAGAAAATAAAGTAGTGTGAGAAGTTGGATTTTATAAAGACACATACCCTGGACAACTCTGGGAAGAAAAGAGGGTCACCAAATTATTTTCTAATAGAAAGACTCTAGTCTAGAATCCTACTCTGCTCAGCCACACTCTATGCTTCAGTTTCTCGGGTTTCGGGGCTAAAAAAAAAAATCTGAACTTATCCACCGGACATAACCTTTCTTCGATTCAGTTTACACAATGGAATAGGATCCAAGATGATGAGAAAGGTTTGGGAGGAACTGGTGATGTTCAATCACAGAGATGAGATCCCTTAGGAGATGACAATCAGAGTGTTCTTCAGTATCTAAGTGGCTGTGATGTAGAAAAGGAGGTAAAGTGTAGGAGAAAGAGACAGTTTAACACAGAGAAGGAAAATTAGAGCTCTTTGGCTTGTTGGGGGTTCAGTTGGAGTTATTCAAGGACAAGTGAGAAGCCTGGCCAGCATGGCTCAGTGATTGAACATCGACCTATGAACCAGGAGGTCATGGTTTGATTCCTGGTCAGGGCACATGCCCGGGTTCCAGGCTCGATCCCCAGTGTGGGACACACAGGAGGTAGCCGATCAATGATTCTCATCATTGATGTTTCTATCTCTCTCTCTCCTTCTCCCTTCCTCTCTGAAATCAATTATATATATATATTTAAAAAGAATAAGTGAGGAGATTCATCACTTGTCTGTAACTTGTCTGTAATGTTGAAGAGGATCATGTATAAGGCTTGGATAGATAGCCTCAGGTCCTTTCTCACTCTAATAATAATAATAACAATAGCCACCAATTATTAAATGCTCACTAAGGTGTGCTAAGCATTTTATAGGTCTTACCTCATTTAATTTTCACAAAATCCCCATAGGGTTAGAAATAATTGCATCCATTTTACAAATAGAGAAACTGAGTAAAAAATTTGGCAGAGGTTTAACTTGAACCCAAGTCAGAGTGACTCAGAGCCCCCTCTACTAACCATTATGTTCTAGTATAAATGTGGTCTGGGAAAGATAAAGTTATTGTTTTATTTTGTTTTGGTTAGAAAGTTTCTTTGCCCATTCAGTCAAACTGAAGCCAAGTTATCTTCTTGAAAAAAAATTGTTGTAAACTGTAAGTACTGTGTGAAAAGGAAACTGGAAAGCCATTATCTCAGCTGGTTTCCTTCAAATTTCTGAGAAAACCAACACATTTCCCAAGGACAACGTATGCTTTTAGTTGTGATCTCTGTGTTTTGAGAGTAGAGAACAGACTAGAAGAAAGCAACATTTTTAAGGAAAATTTATGCTTTTAATTTTGATCTCTTTGTGTTTTTAAGAATGGAAGACAGAATAGAAGAATCCAGAAGCCATGCTGTTTATTTCCCAAATGATGTTACAAAATCAGCAAATGCTTTGGGTTCTTTTGTTTGTCTGAATCCTTTTAAAAAAAACATTTATGAAAGTGTCTGTTCAAGGAAAGGGAAGGGCAGTTTTATTTTTTAGCACCTCAGGGTGCTCAAATAATCTCAAGAGGTCTGGGGATGTTTTTCAAATACAAATGATTCAAAATCACTTAAAGCAAATATGTGACTTAATCAGGTTTTAAGTAAAGTGAAATTTAGAAAATCAAACAGTCACAGCAGGTGATCTAGAAACTCCAGGAAGTTTTGGGTGAAACTGACTTAAAAAAGAAAAACAAAACAAAAAAGGACAGGGGGAGGGGAAGAGGAGAGGAAGGAAGAGAGGAAGGAAGGAAGGAAGGAAGGAAGGAAGGAAGGAAGGAAGGAAGGGAGGAAGGAAGGAAGGAAGGAAGGAAGGAAGGAAGGAGAGTACTCATTCAAACTTGAGATACTACTTATCAGTGTATTTTGCATTTATTTTCTTGTAGAAAATATACTAAGGAAAATGATCATTTCTACTATATCATCTTATAAATTCACACATTTTCTCTTAATCTCTATATTATAAGTATCACATTCAAAATTTTTAAAATATAGTTTTACATCTTTGAATCTTGATATTAATATCCCACAATGGAGGTCACATTTGATTTTTTTTCTTTCTGTCCTAATTTCTCTTTTTACTGACTTTTGAGAAATCTTTTCATTATTTTTATCCATGAAACATTTGAACCTCACTAATATCATCAATGTGGGAACAAAGCTTGCCATTCCTCCATAGCCACTAAATTTTTACATTGAAATGCCATAAATAATTAACATTGTTCAGGAGGCCATAACTTTGAATTATCAAAAGCCATCCTATCTAATAAAAGTGTAATATGCAAATTAACCATCACTCCGTCACAAAGATGGCGGCGGCCATGGAGCTGGAGAGAGCAGGAGGCTTGGGTTGCCCCTGGCAATGGAGGAAGCCAAGCTTCCCACCTGCCCTGGCCAGCACTGGGCTCCACTCAAAGCTACAAAGTTCCAATTATAGAAGATAAATAAATCCCAGATACCTGCTGAAAAAAAAAAAAGAAAAAAAGGAGAGGCTGGGAGCTTGGGTCACTGGGGGGGCGTGACCAGCCTGAAAACGGCCATCAGCCCCTCACCCAGGCTGCCTAGGAACCCCAGTAGGGACCCCCACCCTGAAGGGAGTGTAGCCAGCTTGAAAACAGCCCTCAGCCCCTCACCCAGGCTGGCCAGGCACCCAGCAGGGACCTCCACCCTGAAGGGGGTGTGGCCAGCCTGAAAACAGCCCTCAGCCCCTCACCCAGGCTGGCCAGGAACCCCAGCAGGACCCCCACCCTGATCTGGGACACCCTTCAGGTCAAACCAGCCGGCCCCCACTCGTGCACCAGGCCTCTATCCTATATAATAAAAGGGTAATATACAAATTGACCCTAACAGCATAACGACTGGGAATGACTGGTCACTATGACACACACTGACCACCAGGGGGCAGACACTCAATGCAGGAGCTGCCCCCTGGTGGACAGTGTGCTCCCACAGGGGGAGCTCTGCTCAGCCACAAGCCAGGCTTATGGCTGCCAGCACAGCAGTGGTGGCAGGAGCCTCTCCCGCCTCCTCAGCAGCACTAAGGATGTCTGACTGCAGCTTAGGCCTGCTCCCTGATGGCAAGTGGACATCACCCGAGGGCTGCCGGGCTGCCTGAAGGATGTCTGACTGCCAGCTTAGGCCCGATCCCCTGGGGAGCGGGCCTAAGCCAGCAGGTGGACATCCCCAAGGGGTCCCAGACTGTGAGAGGGCACAGGCCGGGCTGAGGGACCCCCCCCCAAGTGCACAAATTTTTGTGCATCAGGCCTCTAGTCTTATGTAATAAAAGCCTAATATGCAAATCGACTGAACGGCAAAACAACAGGTGGAACGACCAATCACTATGACATGCACTGACCATCAGGGGGCAGACGCTCAACACAGGAGCTGCCCCCAGCCCACAGGCCCCAGGCCAGCCAAGGCAGGTGCCAGTAGCGGTCCCCCAATCACCCAGCCGGTCACCCCACAGATTGTCCCTGATTGCCGGTGAGGCCTTGAGACCCTATCCATGCACAAATTTCGTGCACTGGGCCTCTAGTATTTAATAAATAATACTGTCTTAGAAAACCTTGCTTTATACTACTGCTTTATCTTCTCTGCCAATTTTTATAGGAAAGAAATTATTTTTCCTTTATTTTCATAACCCTCAGCAAAGTGCCTTACTAGAGATAAACTGGTTAAAAAAATAATTGTTGAATTAATCAATGACTTCAGGCATGAACTCATGGAATTTCTTATTTATGATAATAGAAGATTTATAGAATGCTAATACTTAATTAAAATGCAGTAGGGAATATTTTCAAATAATAACAAAAAAACATTGCAGGGCAGATTTTGCATATTTTATTTTAGATTTAGCATTTTTCTTTTTAATAACTAAAGACTAATATGTGGTGGTATTTTGAATCAAGAAATCGGGCATTTCTTCATCACTTTGAAATAAATATTATGTACAGATCAACTTAAAAGTTAACAAAAATATTACATATTGATATTCATGAAATATTCCTCTATAAGTTAAACCCAGACACACATTCATGTCTAAATGTATTTAATATTTACTTTTTACTCTTAAATTGCTGCCATTTACATTTGACCTTAGAAGGCAAACTATGTCAGTAGGACATCAGCAATTAAGCTCAGCAGTATTAAAGTTAGGACACTCCCATGTTTGCAAATGTCAATGTCATGAAAGAGAAAAACCCCTGTAAAATAAGTGCTTGTTCTTTACGTGTAAGTGATATGGAACAATCTGTACTTAGTTCTCAAGTTCAATCGAGGAGGGCTTCCGAGGAGGTGTACTACTACGGTATGAGTGTGGAGAGCACAGGTGGAGAATGCTTCTGGAAGTCAAGCAGTAGCGTCCGTGGGTTATTCAGAAAAGTTAATAGTTCGTACTCCCAAGAAGCCCTCTTGCTGCAGCCCCGTAATTAATGGTCCCATTGCTTTTCTCTTTCGTTGACACCTTCTTCTTCTTCAGGGAATGCTGATTCACTCTGGCCTTTCAAGTGTTTAACCCCTGAAATGATACAAATGAATTTCAGTGAAATTTATCCTGACAGATACACTGCTTTGCTGCTAGAGATAAAGAAAATGAGTGGAAAGTTTTCACTGGGGTATATGTATTTTCTCCAAGAATCTCAACAATCTAATCCTATGCAAACCTTTTAATTCACCAAGGAATAAAGACATACCCAGCCAAATTTCCATAAGAGGCGGCCAATCTTTTATAATGTAATCTTCTCCATTAAGAATTGCATCACAGCCTGTTAAAAACCTGTTAACCGAAAAATCTGCTCACAGGCTCTTATTGTAATCCTGATATATCATTTTAGTTCAAATATTTCTTTTGGCCTCTCTGGACTCTATTACAACGAGAACCACTGAAACCCCTAGGAACAAAGGGGCTGCTGTTTGCCATTTCATTGTAACGTGTAAACAACAAAAGAATCATAATATTGTTATTGGGAATAGGAACATACTTATAATTATGAAACCTCGGTACTCAAAGTTCTTCAGTAACTTCCCCTACCTCCTACAGAGAGAAAAAACATTGGCATACCTTTGCCTGCTGTACACGCTTATGTGATCTGGCCTCTCCCTACTGATTTGGCCTCATTTCTCACCGGCCCTTCCTGCTTTCGCCTTTCACAGTAACTTACTCTTTAACAATACAACCTACTCTTCCCTATTCCCTGATCAGACCAGGTTCCATCAAGCCTCCATGCTTTCCTTGTTCTATTCTCTGACAAATGGTTTCTTCCTACTCACCCACCTGGTAATCTCCCACTCATCCTTCTGGTCTCAGCTTGCCTCCTCTGTGAAAGCTCCCTAATTCCCAAGTGGAATGACCTAGATCTTTCTCATATTCCCCCACTGCTCTTGGGTCACTTGCTCTTGTACCAACCACCCAATAGAACTGTATTTGTTTATCTATCTTTCTCATAGAACAAACTTCTTGATGTCAGGATTATGTAGTTTCACTGTGGGGTCCTAGACGCAGTGCCTGGCAAATAGTAGGTGCTCATTAATATTTATTGCATAAATGGTTGATAGAATTCATGAAGAAACAAACAATTTGGTATGTGTTTTTGGCCATTCCACACTAATGTATATTCGGATTTTTTTCAAAATTAATTCAAAGTTGGAATATAAATCAGAAGACAACCACGACAGCCAGATCAATCTACAAAATTATCTTTATGCTAGCTGACACTCTGGGCATATGGGAAATTTTATACATAGTTTTTATTTTAGAAAAGTGGTTTACGAGATTTTTATAAGTACTACTGAAAAACATACCAGTTAGAACTGATAAATGAAAGGACGTTGCCGCTCATGCTTGCTATGAAACAAAAAAACTGGGGGAAACAGTGTGGTTTTTCATGTGCTGCAGTTAGCAAGCTTCAGAGTGCTGTTTGGCAATGAATGACATCCTTGGGCTTGGTGGATTATCTTGCAAAAATATTTGATCAGTTGTAATAATATTTAAATACTTTGATTTGATCCACAAACAGAGATCACTCCCAATTCCTGTTGACTCAAGACGGTAGAGAGACGTTTGTTATTAACAAATGGAACTTTTTTCATATTATTGCAAATTACATGGGTAAAAAAAAACACACAAAAGTCTAAATGCTAAGAAGGGAAGAACGTTTAAAAAGCATCCAGTTAATCACTGCTAGAGTCTTACATACCTGAGTCACTGACTTCACAACAACCCCATAAGATAAATACCTGGATGGTGAAATTTAGATTCTAAGAAGATAAAATTTGTTCAAGATGATAAGGGTAGTAGAGTTATAAGAGAAGGTCTGACACATCATAGTCCCTCTGTGTAGAGCGATGGCTGGCTGGTTGACTGACTGACTGACTGAGGCATAAATTCCACTCTCAGAGACTCCAACTTATTTTCACCTTTAGCTTTTTGGACACTGACCTAGATTTTCCTAACACCCTCTAGGACTTATCAGGGATATAGTACCTATTAACCCGGCTTAGATGATCTCAGGATTCCCTCCAAAATATTAAGGCACAGTCATCATTCAGCTGTCTGCCACTCTCTCTCCTGAGCTAACTTGTCTGGACATCTCTGGGTTTGCAAAGGTCCTATTGCCTCCAAGCTCATCCATTTCATCTGCAAGGTGACCAGCTACAGAGTAATAAAGCTGTGTTTAAGATAATTTTCTTTAAATTAGGGTTAATAACAATGTCAACATTGATTTGTCTATATTAGGGGGGTTAAACATTTTTTAAAAATCAGCAACCAAAATACCCAACTTATAAAACCACTAATCAACTGTTAATTAATTTTCCATACTTGAGTATAGATCTACTTGCTTACCTTGATCCATACTTAATTCATTTTACAATATTAATGGTCACAAAGTTATAAGTAAGTCTTTTTAAAAGTAAAAAGACTTACTTATATAACTCACTTGGGCAAACCTTAGAAGGCCTTTCTTAGGCTAATTTGAGTGTGACACTAACTGTTTCTAGGTAAAAGGTTTTGATGAGGCAAGAGTTGGTGACATCACAGAGATGTTCTGTAGAACATTTCTACAAAACCACACACATTTTGGCTCCCAAAGCAGTTTACACTAATGTCATATTTCCATTAGATAATGGATCATTGGTAAATTTGTGTTTTGAATCTTTTTTCCCATCAGCAATATGTATTTGGTTACAGGTACAATAATGCTGATATTAAAGTGTAAAGTCTGTGAGGGCTAATAAATCTTTCTCCTCACCAGCCTCCTCCTATCTCCAAACACACATACACTTAGTTTTTAAATTTTCTTTAAGCCCTCATTTGACATTTGAGTAATTCTGGAGGTGGAAGGAAATCACTTGTTTGGGGTGTTGATGAGATTCTCAGCCTCCTCCTCTGCCAAGTGCTGATGCTCAAGTAGGAAAACACCTCACCCGCCCAGGGGCTGACTCAGCATGGGCAAAGGGCCTCCTGGCGCCAGCACAGACTCGGCCAGCCCTGCACTGGGCAGAAGTCAAAGGGCTCCCCCAAAAACACAAGGTAGGTTCTTTTCTCCATAGCAAAATGCACACATGGAAAAGAGGACCATATATAAGAGTGGGATATGCAGTATGAATACATGAAGGAATGAAAAAAAAATAGAGTTTGAGGAAGGAAAGTAGACTAAGTAAAAGTTAAAGGAAAATAAATAAGCATTGCCTCCAAACAGAACATAATCCTCATGCTCTTCTCCATCCTGTAGATCAGGAGGTTAAATGTGAGTTGGATGAGGTTGTGAAGAAGTGGCTGAGTGAAGAATTATGAATAATGAATCCATAGAAGGAGGCTTGTACTTGGCAAACCACAGGTCAATATGATTACCAATAAATTTGGAAGGGGAAAGTCAGGTTTATTATATTTGTAGATGGCACAAAACATGGGAGATAAGATGACATAATGAATGACAATACAAACAGTATTCCAAAAGGTTTTAATTACTGAATAGATGGCTTAAGCAATTATGGTAGAGGTCAACAGGGAATTTTGTTTTTAGAAAGATTATTTTCAATCTAAAATATAGAGAATGAGGGCCACCTAGGTTGATTATAGCTAGGGGTTTCAGGTGACCACAATTTCACAATGACCCAGTAGAGTCACCTGTTCCTAGGAACAGAGCTCTTGGAGGTGTTGGTGGCATTCCTAACAGCAGAGTCAGCAGTTTAAGAGAGGGAATCACTCTCTAATCATGTGTTAGTCAGAAATTTTCTGGATCATGCTGCCTAACTCCTTTTTTAAAACTGTTTTCATTGATTTTTTTACTAGTAAGAGAGAGAGGAAGGGAGATGGAGAGTGAGATAGAAACATCAATGAGAGAGGAACATCATCAGTTGGCTACCTCCTGCACATCCCCCACTGGGGATCAAGCCCGAAACCCAGGCATGTACTCTGACCCAGAATCAAACTGTCAACCTCCTAGTTCATGGTCTGATGCTCGACTGCTGTACCACACCAGCTGAGCCATGCTGCCTAATTCTTGACTCTGAATTTTAAGAGTTCCATTGAAGAAGATAATTGGGATTAAAAGTAATCTTATGAGGGGAGAAACCAAGATGGCGGCATAGGTAAACACCGGAAATTGCTGCCTCGCACAACCACTTCAAAAATACAACTAAAAGACAAAATGGACATCATCCAGAAACACAAGAAGGCTGGCTGAGTGGAAATTCTACAACTAGAAGGAAAGAGAAAAGCACACTGAGACTCAGAGGAGCTGTGGAAGTAAAGTGCAGAGGTATGGAGGCTCACGCAGAAAGGGCTGGCAACTGAGGATGTGGCGCACGTGGAAAGAGCTGGCAGCTGAGGACGTGGCGCACATGGAAAGGGCTGGCAGCTGAGGACACCATTGTGTTTTTCAATCTGGAGGGAGTCTCAAGCTCCCGACTGCTCTGAACTCCAGTTCCGGCGAGTCTCTGGGAACCCAGACTCATACGGGAGAAACTGGACTGTCTGGCATCGGTCAGAACTCAAGGGCGGCTTTCTCTCAGAGGTACTTGCAGCGATTACCGGGACACTGAGAAGTGGGGCCTCTTAGGGCAGGACTGAGGAGCAGCCATAGCTGCTTGCTCCGCCCTGTTGATCCCCTGAGACACCCCCCCACCCAAGCTGTGCGCAGAGGCTTTTGCATATGAAAGGCCTGGCCCTTTGCAATCTGAAAATTACCTAACAAACTGCAGCTGGGTCAAAGAAACCCAGAACTTCCAAAAGAAGGCCCAAGGCCCCACAGCAGCTTGCATTGCTTCACAGCTGGGCTCCTGCTGGGTAGCCTCAGGCAAAGGCTAAATTAGCACCTCCTTAGAGATCCAAGAGCCAGTGTACCCAGTGGTCAGAGTGGGACCATCCAGAATACAACTCCTCAGATCCATAAGGGACACACTCAGGGGGCAGACTCAGTGAGCACCAAAGCCCCATTGAAGCAAGTCTTGCCCCAGAAGGGTGTCTCCAGCACAGAAGTTCTCCCACTGCAGACACAGCTGATTCTCACAGCCAAT